GAGACCGTTGGCAGCCACCCGACACTTCGGGGTCGCGAACGACGCGGAGGGCCGAGCGGTGTTGCCAACACAGGGAGCGCGACCGACATGGGGAGGGAGTATGTGGTGAAGGCACTGGTTCGCCACAATATTATATCCTTATATAAATAATATTTACTTACTACCATTTTTTTCCCGGGACTCAATTTACCTCTTCCAAAATGTACCAAACATATCTCGGACTCAAATTACCTAAACCCCTTATTACCCCTTATACGATATTACCTAATACCTAAACCTAATACCTAATACCTAATACCTAAACCTAGTACCCGAGCACCTGCCTGGCTGCCTGAGAAGTTCGTCAACTTTTTTTCATAATATGATCAATATTTGTCTCTTGTACCTAGGGGACTCTGAATATGCATTTAGGCCATGGATGATGACCCCATTAAATAATCCTGACCCCGATACTCCAGAAGGGAGATACAATAAATGGTTTACTAAAACCCGATCATTAATTTAACGCACTAATGGACTACTCAAAATGCGATTTCGGTAAAAACTTGGGTCAGACCATATGGGAGTTATGCAGATTCCACAATAGAAGATGCCTTGGAGACCATAGTTAATGGCGAACTATCAGTGTTGGCTGCTAGCAAACGTTATAGTATACCTTATGGTACATTATATAACCGTTCTCATGGTAAACATGTCAGACAGTGTTTAGTGAAGATGAAGAGAAAAGTATACTAAGTGCAGTGATGAAATGTGGTGATTGGGGTTTTTCCTTATCGTTAATTGATGTGAGGTAATTATCAATTAATTATTTGATCTAAATAAACATTTTAATGTAAAATATACGTGGGAGTTGTTATAAGCAAATTTGGAAATAATATTCTACCAGGAAATGATTGGGCTCGTAGTTTATTAAAAAGACATTCGGTGATAGGACAACGAATTGCAACAAACATTTCCAGAGTTCGTGCAGAAGTATCACCAACTACAATAGCTAAATATTTTTTAAAATCTAGAAAATGTTGTAGATACTATACCACCTGAAAATATATTTAACTATGACTAGTCAAATCTACAAGATTATCCTGGGAAAAAAAAGGTCAACATTAAATAAATATATATTTCAAATAGGTATGAAAAAAAAAGTACTTTTAATGATGGTAGGTAATATTTAAAAAGTATTTATTTATAATACTACATTATCATCCAACAAAAGCATCTAAAATTATTAATGCATGCGTAGTTCTCCATAATATATGCATTTCAAATAATTCACCCGAACCAATTGATGAAGCAATACATGATGTAGACTGGGGTATGTATTACGACGAGGAAAATAATTTAAATCCTCAACAAATGATCCCAAAATAAAATCACATGAGGGCCATGTTAGTGAGGGAAATAACTTTCAGCAACTGATTCATAATTTTGGTGAAATTTTGAAAACAAAGGCATCTACTGAGAATATCTCGTTAAGGAATTTATATGTTGAGGAATCTAGAAAGTAAGGAGTTTTATAACCTAAAGAATATCTTTTAGAGTCCTATCAAAAATTGATATCCGAATTTAATATTTTATTAGACATGTGGTTGACAGCAGGTTTCTTCCTATGGTCAACAGCCGAATCTTTAATGCGACATGCCCGAAGAAGATCATTTGCCTAGATTGCCTAACTCACTGTCAGATTTGGAAACTCTATTTGACAATGGCCAGCTAAATCGGTTTCTTGTTGCGACACTCCTTTTTTAGAGGATGTGTTAGAGATGTTGATGGAATAAGTAGCATCATTTTTGGATGTGTGAATTTAATTGTTAATGTTCTGCAAAATGGTGTGTCAGAGTTACATGCGGATGCCACTTTCAAGGTTGTACCTAGAAACATGGGATACCAATTACAAACCATACATTGTATGATCGAAAACCATGTAAGATATTAATAATATGTTTTATTATTTTATTTAATATACAAATTCAAATTTAAAATACTTGTGGTAATAGGCACCAATTTAAATAGTTGTAACATACAATAAGATTTTTTTTTTTTTTAAATTCTCATTTAAATATTTGCAGTCCACCTATTATCTATATTCTTATGGAAAGTAAGTCACGGAATTCATACAACAGTGTTATGCGATTTGTAAAAGATAATCTTTTACCAAACTTAACGGTTGAAGTCATTATAACTGACTATAAGGTGGCTCTGAGGGATGTTTTGATTTCATCATTTCCAGAAGCTCGTTACGCTGGCTGCTGGTTTAATCATAACCAGGTAAAAATAAATAATTAAACAAATACAATTAATGATATTATATAGCATACTTATTAATGATTTTGTATAATTTTGAAGGCTGTATGGAGAAAAATGAACAGTTTAGGATACTTACATCATCTTAATACTAACGATAATGCCCGTAAAGTATTGAAACTCCTTATGTCCCTTGCCAGCTAGAGATATGGAGAACGCATTTTTATTAATTAGAGCATTTGCACGAAATCATGATGTCAACTTGGAGAGATTGCTAAGTTATTATGAAAGGTATTTGACTTAAAACCTAGAACATTTTAAATAACTGTTAATAAATACTGTTAGTTATTAACAGTATTAAAATACAAATTATATTGTATTTTAGCTATCAGGTATTAGACATTTAAATATAAACATGTACCCCAATAACATAATTGACATTTTTCTTTTGAGTTATTGGTTAAGAAATATTGGTCCACAAGTTGTGTCGGTTCATGGACTGCCTCGTCGGACAAATAATAACATTGAGAGCTTCCATAACACCTTAAGATTAAAGTGCTCTGTTGCGCATCCAAGCTAATGGATATTTCTCGGTACCTAAGTAATGTATGCGTAAGTACAATACAACAAAATTACATCAAGTTGTATTAGAACTTAAAGGTATAAATATATAGTAGACTCAAGGTTTTGGAACTATGGATCAAATTACTATATTAAAATTAAATTGAAATTAAAATTACTTCATTAAAATGAATATATTTTTATGAGAGGTTGTATTTATATATAATTATAAACTTAAATTAAATCTTCTTAAATGAAAAAAAAATCTTTTCATAGTTACTTAATTACACTCGTTGTAAAACCTAATATAATGAGTCTCAAATTATAATCATAAATGTACCAAGTTACTTAATAATTAATACCAAAAAGATAATACCTATTTTATTTTGTAATTTTTAAATAGGCACTTTAACTACTTTGAGTACCAGTTACCATTTGGTTAATCAATAAATTTTTAACCACTTGTGTCCCACTAGGCATGTGAGAAACAAGTTTTTGGATAACTCTCACAGGATAAAATATGCTACAGAGCAATACCAATTAGGACAAATATCCATATGGCAATTGCTTCTGAGTTGTTCGTATACCAGCGCAGCTTATGAATTAAGGCTGCAAACCTGGGCTTTGAACGATGCTGATGTTGATGCTGAATCAGACCACAATGTTCCAGCAGATGCAGTTCCAGTACCAGATCACATTCCCAATGTTATTAATCCACAGCCAGTGGAAAATAATAACTTGCAATTGGATCTGAATCTACCGTTTAATGATGCACCAGGTTCACCTCCAATTATGAACCCTCCAGATTCGTCAAATGTACCTCAACTGCCAGACAACAGAAACTTGTGTATGACATGCTTGGTAGTGTCTCTAGCTGAAAGTGAACAGCAATATATAGTATTACCATGTGGTCACGTATGGGTGTGTGATCATGGTCGTTCTCAGGGGGTGTGGATGGGGGATGGATCCCCCATGACCTTTTTTTTAGGTGAAATGGATTTTCACGATTAACTGATAAAAAAATTAAATAAATGAATGATATGCAATTACTGGTATACAGATAACAGATTACAGACCACGGTTACAGACAGTAATATTTGTAATCTAATGTTATATTGATATTTGATGTAAACAATAAATAATTAGTCTCACGATACCGTCGATTATACAAGTGATAACATATTTTTCAATGATTATAAATTGATTTTAGCGATTTGCATAGTGGATTGACGAGTATGATGACTGACTTATAATTTAATTTTTGTTCAAAATGAAACCAAATAATTCAAGTAGTATATTGAATTTTTTTTCAAAAAAAAAGTTTGTTCCTCCTACAAGTTCTGATGTAGAAAGTATACAAGCTGATGGTATGGTTGAAGTAGACAAAAATAAATTGTCTGAGCCTGATGTAAATTGTTGTAGCCTTAGTAATAAAGTTGATTGTGGAACATTCACCACAAATGAACAAAAGGTTAGTTTATTTTATAAATTAATATAGAATTCTTATTTATTTTACTGATTTTAATTTTCTAGCTCAAACAGCAAAATAGTTTAGTCAGCTTGCATAATGCTTATGATATTGCTTTTTTTACTAACCGTAGTTTATTGAATGATGAAAAAAATTTAGTAAGTATGTTTTACAATCATGATGAACACATTAGTTAAGTAGGTATATCTTAATACAGGTGTTAACCAGTATGTGGACTCCACCAGATGACTACAACTTTCCATTATTAGAAGAAAACAAGTAGAGAGGACTTAAATTCAGGGCAAATGGCTTAAAACTTTTCCTTGGCTATGCTATTCTGCAAAACTTAGTGGTGCTTTTTGTAAACATTGTGTTGTTTTTGCTTCTTGTGGTGGAGTTGGATCACAAAAATTAGGGTATTTTGTTGTAAAACCTTTTCAAAATTGGAAAAAAACTAAAGAAGTATATTTGATAATTTAAAGTAAAATTGATAACTGATTAATACAGTTGAGAAATATATTTTAGATATTATTCAAACATAATGGTGTTAAATTATGTTTCCCATCCCCCTGTCACGATTTCTTTTTTTTGTAGGTTCCCCATTGTTGTGATTTTTTTAAGCATTTATACTTTAATAAATCTGTTCTCACCAGCTTAACTGCGAGCATATCCTCTCGTGATAACTCCAGTCCACAAGTTGTTAGGAATTTGATCCCGCCTAACATACACTTTAGATTCTTTTTTCGTTCAGGCCTCGAGATTTTGAGCCTAGAGTTTGGCTTGGTATTTGTATATTTGTTGCGTATTGGTATTTGTTTGGTGATTGGTTTTGTTCGGCTTGTTTGTGTCGTACTCGCCTATGTTTGTGACTTTGTAGCTCCCTCCCCTGACCAGGTCCACCGCATTTGCGCTGGGCCAGCTGTCGTTTGGCTGTGTAACCTGACATAGCTCGGAGTTTATCCGTAAAAAACGTAGGCGAACACGGCTATAGTAAAAAACTAGCCTTTCGATTATCCAACAAATAGGTACCAGTACGTGCACGCGATGTGGACACGTTCCAGTGGCGAGATCCACTTTAAACATTATCTGATGCATGGTGCATCCCAACCCCGTCGCTCGCGTGCACATAATGTATAAACCACCATCTCCTTGCAAGTCTGAGTGCTCTTTTTTTTTATGTATATTTTAAATTTGTGACTTCTAAATTGACTAAATTCTTTGTTTTTTTTTTTTTTTATTTAACGTCATCGTCCTGCAGTACGCTGCGTTTGAGAGCTGCTGGAGTAAGTGTTGTGTGATTTTTTCTACTTCGATACTACATCTTACTACAGTCAACTAGGCCCGGCTGGAGCCCGCCTTTTGGACCAGCTGTTGTGTGTACCGTGATTTTTACAACAGCCTGCTGCCGCCGCCTTTTGGATCACGCAGGCTCGGCTGGTGTCCGTTTTTTGGCCCAGCTGTTCTGTGTGCTGTGAGTTCTATGTCGACCAGCCGAACGCCGGCTTTTGGAGCAGTCTCATTCCGTGTCATTGTGAATTCTACTGCGACCAGCTGAACGCCGCCCTTTTTAGCAGCCTGGTCACCAATCCGTGTCATTGTGAGTTCTACTTCGACCAGCTGAACGCCGCCTATTGGAGCAGTCTGGTCGTCACCGTGCTAACGCGTGTTCTTTTCTGGTGGTGTGTTTTGTTTTTCCGACGTCCCGGCGTACCTGGTGCGTCGCAGGTACGACCCCTCGGTAGGGTCCGATGGCCGCCCACGCTGGCAATAGCCAGGTGGCCGGCCCATCTGACCGCCCTGACCCGGAGCAGCTACTAGACCGACACGAGTCGGATAGTGACTCAGTGTCCGATGGTGGCAGCTCTGGAGAAGGCGAGACCCCTGTGCGTCGCCGGCAGCCCACGCTCGAAGGGCTCCTCCTTACTTTTTGGTTTCCGTTGCCCACGACCCTCAATTGCCCGCACTTACGCTGCTCGGCGAAGTTCCGGGTGAAGCTGTGGACCTCTGCCAAGCAGTCGGTTTCGCGGCACATCCGGGACATGCACGAGGAGGCGGAATCTACGGAATCCACGCTGTGTGGAGTCGTTTCCGACCAAGAAACTCTGTACAGAGAAGTTCTACAAGCGATATAATTGTACAATGAAGTCTACAAGAACTTAATGAACATCAAATCTGATCTGTGTGATCAAATGGATCTGTGTGATACAAGTCTGTGTGACACATGGATTAGAAGCAGTCGTAAATACGACTCGAGGAGGAGAGAAAGTTCGACGACCTCCACGTGGTTCTCTCTGGATGCGGATTTTGTAATGAATACGTAACTGATGTCGAACATGCATTTAACCTGGGTTCGACTCGCACACTAGATGGTAAATCTTAATATATATAAATCTCGTGTCACAATGTTTGTCCTCAATGGACTCCTAAACCACTTAACCGATTTTGATGAAATTTTTTACACCGCGTGTAATTTGGTCAAACTTAAAAGATAGGCTAATTTAAAAAGGGAGAGGACCAACCCCGGGAGGTGCTCAAACGGGAATTTTGAGATTTCCGATGGACATTTTTGTTTATAAATGGTTGCCATGGGTTTTTAAGCTATTACAATAATAAAAATAAAAAAAAAACTATTTGCTTTACTTTTTAAATATAAATTGTAATCTAATATCTAACTATAAAAATGTGAAATGAAAATCTCTGTACTACTTATCTCTGGAGCTCCTTTTATATCTTCTTGATTTTTTTTTAAGCGAAAGAGTATTTCATGGATAAGGTTTGTATGAAAAAAAAAATGTTAGGAAAATCCACCGGTGTATAATATATTGGTTGCTATTGGTTAATCGGGCATGTTCTTGATTTGTATCATTATTTTTTGTCAATATACGTATATATATATATATATATAATAAATACAAAAAGATCTGATAAGTAGTTCCAGAGTCTGTATAGTTATAGTCCGTGTATTTATATAGTTATATATATATATATATATTAATGTTTGTGGGTAGATTAGACGTCTGGGAAGAAGATAGGTTAATTTACTAAGGGTTAAATTTGTTTTTTTTTTCATCGGATTTTAGTACGGTTAGGTTAGGATAGGATTTTGTATAAAATGATTATAATAATCCATCTTAGGCGAAATTAAGTAAAAACGATAAACTTGGTATAACTTTGATACTTTAGAGTTAAATCATACACTTACGTACAAACAGCACAGGGTCCGCGATCTATCGCAGGTAGATTACTGTTGCGAATCAGAATTTTTATTCGGGGCAACGGAAAAGTTAAGATTAATTTTGAACACCGCATACACCGAATATTAACGAATTGAACAAACTTTGAGACATATAGAATTGATACATTTAACGGGGCAACGAAGTGCACGGGATCAGCTAGTTATTTATAATTATTTATGTACTCAAAAATATATTAGCAGATATTTGTATGCATTTGTATTATTTCAGAAACATCATTAAACTACACTATATTGTATGTTTGAATTTGTATTGCTTAGCAATGTCTTTCGTATGTAATAAACATAATGAGGTATGATTAGATTATTTTATTCAATTGACATTCGGCTTTAACATTTTCTCCTACAATAATACAATATCAGACTATCGACGTTAGGAGGTATGCCCAGTAAACGCACAAATTTGTACCGGTTGAGGACTGAAAGCTAGACACACAATTACCGTTTTCGTTAAGCATTTCTCCTTTTTGCACGCACAAAAGAACAGGGCATGCGACGGGTCATGTATCCAATCCACCATACACACATGCCCTATAACTCATAGATTTGCATAGAGCGATGATTGATGGCTGGACATTCGATTACCAATATTCGCAATTTCTAATTTCTTATACAAACAACAAAACAGAACCGGGCATACAGCGGGGCACGGTATTACACCAGACGAGCAAAGACCACTCTACACTCCAAGTCACAGTTTTTGGTACGGTTTAATTTCTTTTCGAATTTCCCGTGAAACGATTTTCACTCGACCACCTCGAAGGCGCCGGAGGCGGCTTCCACAACGCCCGGAATCGAGGCACACGGGCAGCTAGTAATAATATAAATATACCTAATATAAAATATTTTTAATTAATTAATAATTTTATTTTTTTTATATTTCATATTTAAAACTAGTTTTATTTTTATGGTTTCAATATTATTTAATAACAATAAGTAATTACACCAAAAATTGTTTTTCATTAGGTAATCTTGTATATGTATATTATAATATATTATGTAATCTATACTAATATTTTAAAGAGTAAAGATTTGTTAATAATAATACTAAATATATAATACCGTATTATACGGTGTCTGTATTAATAATAGGTAATAACAATAAAAAATAAATATAATATAAAACCACTGACAAACCGTCTCCGCTCAGAATCGTTTTATGTATACAATTATATTATATTATTGAATTCAAATTTATGTCGCGAATTAAGCTTCCATACCTACATTTAAGACATTTTTATCGAAAGTCATAATGATTAAGTTAACTAAAGAGACCGATTATATTTTCCTATATTATAGGATGTGGATAGATCCGGCGTTGCGCGGGACGGCGAGTCGCCGCGCTCGGATGGTTCGGCGACTTTTCAATGTCGGCACCGCTGACCGCACCGAGCCGCGTCAGCTCACCGACTTTGGTGGACGGCATGACAAAATAAATAGGTATGACAGCAAAATTCATATTATGGTCGGCAGTGCGCATCCCCACTACTTTATGCACTTTGTATATAATTGTAGTTCTCAGCACGGTTTAAGATAGACTGGTTGCGCGTCGAACGAAAAAAAGTGGCATGAGAAAGCGCTTACAAAAACTTACTGGCACATAACGCGATCTAGCGGTTATGAATTATTTATATATATATTTGGTGATTGGCTGATGATTTGAATTGTATGTATACATATAATATATATATTTTAAATTGGGAGTTGTAGGAGGTCACGACACCATTTCCTTTTTAGCCTGCGCCTTGGATTTCCTGAGAGAGGAGAGGTTTTTAATAAGAGGATTTTGGTGGGATAGGAGTCGCTTACGGAAGCACGAGTAAAAGAATTTGGCTTCTTCGTTGATGGTTTTCATTTGAAAATCATTATGTAATGTTGGGTTTGAAACGTACAGTGGTGCATTGGAGAGTCGTCGAAGAGCTAGGTTTTAGAATACTTGTATTTTATTGGTATTGGATTTTTTTGCTGAACCCCAGAGCTGTATGCCATAAGTCAAAATAGGTTTCAGGAGGGTTTTGTAAATTAGAAGTTTAACTTTTAGATTGGTATTATTATTTCTTGATATTAGAGGATTAATTAATTAAATATATTTTTAAGATGTCAGTATTTCACAAGTATTATTATTATAAATTCTTAATCACTTACTTATCCAACTAATTTAAATTGCATATGTCATGTTTATTCTTTTTGTGTTAGTTGTAATTTACTATTTAGGTATCTAATTAAAATAATATAATATATAACGAATTTATTTGCTTGATTTATTTTAAAAAGATTTCCTATAAAAATGTGTTGTAAATATGTACCTAGTTAGTATGTAATAAAATTAAACAACGTTAATATTGTAGTTCGTAGAATAGTAAATATTTGACAATGTGCAAAGACCTAAAGTGGAACAGACACTCAGTGAATAATATTGAGGTTTGAGATACCTAGAGAGATTAAAAATAAGTTAACAATAGTCATAATTAAAATCATTGCAAAATAAAATTACTGTTTTAGCACGATTTAGTAAAACTTATAGGCGTCAACTCTAGATGGCACTTACTGTCAGTCAGTTTATGTTAGTACATTGCATAGTCACTTGGTCAGTAAGCTTAACATACGTCGATGCGCAACCAGTCTATCTTAAACCGTGGTTAGTACATTGCATAGTCACTTGGTCAGTAAGCTTAACATACGTCGATGCGCAACCAGTCTATCTTAAATCGTGGTTCTCAGCATGACAGCATTTGATTGAATGTTGATAACATGATAAATATTAGCCATTAGGATTGATAATTCAATAAAGTAAACACAAAAAGATAAAAAATAAAATGTATTATAATTATTAATTTGTAATATTATTGGATTTATATAAGACTTTTAGATTTAGTTTTATAGTTTTAGATTAAGATTTTTTTAGTGTCCAGACTATTTATTTTAAATATATTGTTAACAACTTCCAAAATGCCAGTTTGTGAATTTGTTAATTGTTTGAGTGGTAGTAGGAAAAACAAAGGTTTGAAGCAACCCACACTTCATAGGTTCCCAAAAGATGAACAATATAGGCATTTTGGCAGCTTCAAGCTCAGGCAGGATTTAACCCTAAACCAATCAATTTTGATTCAGGTATCAATTTGTTTCGTTTGATTTCAGAATTATTTTTTACTAATTATTGAAATTACATATCATATTACTTGTAATTTAAATTATAGCCGTAGTTTGCTCACTTCACTTTGCTTCTTATCTTTACGATTTTTCTAAAGGAGTACAAAGGAATGCTCGTAATTTAAAGGCAGAAGCAATTCCACTGAAGTAAAATTTATATTAAAAAATAAAGTATGAAAATACAGATCTATATGTATTATATCATTATATGTATTCTTATTAATTAGTTCTTATGGTTTGGATTATAATGACATGCCTACGAGAAGATCTTTCACACCAAATGTATCTCCAATAAAAACTGGAGCTGGAGTTTTTTCTGTGTATGAAAAATATACTATACATTGTTAATATCAACTTGATTTTTGGTTTTCTACTAAATTTCTTTGACCCATGGCAATGTGATACATACATATATTTATTTTTCAGAGAAATTTTACCTGGTTTTGACGTGGTACAGTCAAAACCAAAGTCATGTCTTGTTAGGTTATTCAGTTCAACCTCAACTGATAATGACTTAGGAGTTAAATTATTAGACAATAATGACAAAAGTGAATCAATAATGAGGTAATATTTTGTAATGATGTTTAGGTACCATTCATCCCTTCACTATTGTGTTTGTAACTTCTTGAAAATGATTATTAACAACTGCATGCTTAAATTGTTTAATGTATTCTAAAACAATTATTAAATATAGATAGATTAATATATAGATTTTTAATATAGACATAA